AGGCCAGTGGCTACCAGTGTGTGATTGGGAAACCCCCAATCCACATTATATATATATATATCCACGAGTTTGGTTCTGCTTTCATGTTAACAGAAGGAGCTGAAGGGAAGCAAATCTGCAAAGAAAAAAGGAAGAGTCTAAAAAAAAACACACACACACAAAATTGTCGAAGGAAAAGAAAGAAAGAATTAATGAATTCTGAATGAAGGAAAAGAAATAATACAAAAGGGAAAAGGAAAGGATATCTCTTGTCATGGAAAAAGCAACTCACGACAGCATCAGTCTTCTCCTGTGCTGGCTGCGCAACTTCACTGAAGCTTCCAGGAGGACACGGAAAGCAAGCGCCAAAACCAGCATCACTGAAGAATCCAGCAGCACCTTGGAATATCTGATCTATACTATTGTATATACAGTAAACATATATACACACATGCTATCACACAACTGATTGTGACCGTCTGATGCTTTGACTGTAGGATTTGGAACCTAGATCTGAGCCAAACAGTTTGAGCACGATTATCAGCACAAATTGGATCAGAACAGGAAGGTCGGAGTGCTGCTTTGCGGTTTCATGGGTTTACTTTCTTGCATCGTCGACTTGCAGAGTGTAGGTGTAGCCAAGGCAGCGGCAAATATCACAACTGGAAGCTGACCCTCTGCTGAACCTTGGGCTCAGAAGCACTACACTCTCTGAAACAGTGTCATCTTGGTACGCCTTTTAGCCTTTTAGCATGTTTTATATATCCAGAAATTGTTTCTTGCAACGAGTTTCTTGAGGCTTCCAAGCCTACGGCCTATGACATGTGCTCTAGGCTTCAATGTGTTGGAGCAAACTGCGAACATTCAATCACGGAAATCCAGTCGTGCGGTGTTGCAGGTCATGAAGAGTACTTCCACAATCCAAACATCTCCAGCCCTGACACGCACCTCCCTCGCCCCGTCCTACAATCAAAAACGCCCTTACCGGCCGCACCAAGTTGAAATTGTCCTTGAATACCAAAACAGCAATCCTGAAACACCTTTTGATACAAAAGTTCTTGAATAGTCCCCTCAAACACGATGGTTACAGTGTTGAATCCTTGCCTGCTCTGTGCTGCTTGGGAGCCGTCCTGCTGGGCACTCATCACATTCAGTTGCTGCCTGACCGCTGCGAGTGCCTGGTGGACAACTAGTGCAACCTGACTGGTTCGCCCGAAAGCGACCAGGGATGCACTCAGTGCACTGAGGCGAGCCAGCGCTGCTCCACTCGCCATCTGGACAATCACTGCAAGTATTGTTGGGCTGTTCAGAAAATGTCCCAGCGGGGCAATCCGAGCAAAAACGTGCACCAGGCGGACTGTACTGGCCATTGTTGCAAATATGGCAAAATGTGGCTTCAACCCCACTGTAGGTGCCGCGGGGGCAGTCCTCGCAGTTTGAAGCTGGGTCTGTGATGAACGTGCCTGGCAAACATGATTCACAGGCTGTTGAGGCAACTCCGCTGAAGCGACCAGCGGCACAAGTCTGGCATGTCTGCTCAGGGCTCAGAATGAATGTGCCTGCTGGACACTCTGTGCAATTCTCCGCTGCTACTCCACTGAATGTTCCATCGGGACATGCTGAGCATACTGCAGAAGCCGGGCCACTGATGGTGCCTGCTGGGCACTGGGAACAAAGAGCGGCTCTTCTGGGGCTATATCTCCCGCTGGAACAATCTGAGCAAGAAGATGATGCAATACTGCTGATCGTTCCTGGAGGGCAGTCAAAGCATTGGTTTGAGGACGCATTGCTGAACGTGCCAGCTTCACAGCTTTCACAAACAACTGCACCAGCATTGCTGAATGTGCCAGCAGGACATGTTTCACAAGGCTGATCTGGCCTCACCATAATCGTTCCTGCAGGGCAGGTCTCACACGCACCTGCTGAGATGTCACTTCTTGTGCCTGCTGGGCACGGAGAGCAACTGCTCGATGCAAAGCTGCTCCAAGTACCAGCCGGGCAATCAACGCAATGAATCCCTTTGAACTGATCAGCAGTGAATTTGCCAGGTGCGCATTGAAAGCACTCACGTGCACCCGCAGGGCTGTAGAAGCCCTCTTCACAGGGAGTGCACTGTGAAGAGCCTCTGGTGCTTGCGGTGCCGGCAGGACACGTTTCGCAGTTTGGGTCTCCAGGAAAAACTACAAACTTCCCGGCATCACAAGCTTCACACTTTTCAGAACCTGCCGTGCTGCGTGAACCAGATGGACAGGTTTGGCATTCTGCCGCAGCAGTGCTACTAAATGAACCAGCTGGGCATTCCAAGCATGACTCGGAAGCAACTCCACTGAACGTACCACTTTTGCAGTCTTGGCAAACTCCGGAGCCAGCTGTGCTGTATTGGCCTGCTTCACATGCAGTACAACTATCAGTCCTACCAGTGCTGAACGTTCCCGCTGGACAAACTGCACAAGGTGCCGCCGGATTTTGAACATAGCGCCCTGTTGGACACGGGATGCAACTCTCTGATCTTGTCAGACTGCTGTGACCAAATGGACAGACATCACAGGAAGTGGAGCCCATACTACTGAAACGTCCTCCTGGACAATCTTGGCAAGAACCTGAAGCACCTTCTGCTGTGATGAAACTTCCCGGAGAGCAGGGTATGCATTCTTTAGCACCTGCATCACTGCGTGACCCGGGCAAGCAACGCGTACAACCTGTTGCCCCTTGGATGCTGAAGTAGCCAGCTGGGCAAATGCTGCATGTTTGATTCTCATCCAAAAACTCACCCGATCTGCAAGCAGTGCAACGTGTAGAACCAGAAGGGCTCCAAGAACCTACTGGACAATCTGTACAACTCATTGCTCCCGTGTAGCTGGTGCTATAAGTGCCTGGATCGCACTCCAAACACGCAGAGAAACCTGCAGCACCTGCAAAACGCCCAGGAGCACAAAGAGTGCAATCTCTCACACCAGACAAGCCGTATGTTCCAGGTGCGCAAAAGCTGCAGCTTGCAGATTGAGCCCAGCTGTATCGACCAGCCGGACAAGTCGAGCAGAATGAGGCACCCATTCCGCTGAATTCACCAGGCAAACATGGTCGACAGCCAACAGACCATGTGAGATTCTCTGTTGTATTTTCATAGCTCATGTATGTGCCAGCTTCACACTCAAAGCACGTTTGTGTGGCAGAATCATACCCATACCCTTCTGGGCAGTCGACTGCTTGAACACATGGCCACGCAAGTATCACCCCAAGAAATTTCATGGCACCGGAAGAAGGGCGAACAAGGGAGTGCAAATGGCGAAAGGATGCGAACGATCGTGATGACTTGTGACGACTTGTGAAGACTTGTGCGGTCTGAGCAAATTCAACAGCTCCATCAGACTGCAGCTTCCATAGATGGGAACGGTGAGAATCGATGCTGTTGTTTTTTCCCACCGTTTTCGGAAGACTCTTTTGGACAAAACGCTGTGGTCAAGACAAACAGTACATGAAAATCAATGTTGAGCTGTGAGCGATTGCAAGAACAAACCACTGAAGAGAAACAGTCCATTTGGAAACAAATTTAACGGCAAGTGTAGTCAAAAATGAAGACTTGCAATGGGGTGCATTTCTTTTTACACCGTGCGATTCCGGAACTCGACAAGTGCTGTTGCCATTTCAATCTCGTCACTGTGGCTGTGGCCAATCACTTCTGGATTCACTGACTCCTGAGGCCTGCCTCAAGGTCAAAACCACATGATCTTGGCAGAAGGCTTAACCTGTGTAAGTGATTGTAATTGTAAGTAGGTTGGTCAGTTGGTAGGTTTCTTGGTTGCTGTTCCATCGCTATTAGCTTGGAGGCAATCGCTAGCAGTTTGGTTGATGCTCAACTTGGGTCTCTTTCTTGATCCGTTTTCACCCATGAAGTTGAGCGAAAGTCTCCCGCCTGGAACCTGGCCAGACACAAGGCTCCATGCAGCCTCCTTGAACGGATAAAAACAATTCGATGTTCCCTTTGTTTAAAATCTTAAGTTACTAAATGTTTTCGGTTTTTGGTGTCAAGTCTTTTCAATTTGTTCATCTTCGATTGAAGAATTGAGAACCTGAGCAAAACGGTTTTAGCCCTAAAGTGCTTGAATAGTACTTAAGCAGCATGCTAAAACCACGCTAAAGCTAGTTACTTCTCACCTGTCCAGCTTAGCTACCAAGCATTTTCAAAATAACCCAGTGATGAGTTCGTGTCCACTGCGAACTGTCCCAGACCATGCTAAACGGAAGTCTCATGCAGCACACCTCAGCTTCCTTGATGGTGTCATCGACGGAGATGCAGACTTGCACCTCAGAAAATGCAATCAATGGAAATTATATGTATGTTGATTTTGAAGATATATAGTATTATATAGACACATATGTTTGCAAATTAAGTGATATGTATTATGCATTTTTGCAAATACATATACTTATGCAATCTTATGCATATACATAAACATACATACATACATACGAAAATCCTCCTTCAAATTAAATGAGGGGGTGGGTACACCGATTTTATAACTATAAAACGTTGCATATGACATCCAAAATGAGAGGCTTTTGAGCTCTATAGAATTGGGGATTGTGAGACAGAAAATCATGGCCAGCTCTATAGAATTGGGTTGGGGACATGGAAAACAAGTACACATTTCAAGTACAAACACTATAGAATCGTAGGACACAAGGTTTTTTCGAGCTGTTGTTTTTCAGCAGGCTTTGGGTTGCAAAATTTGACTACGTTGGAAACAGGACCTCTAACAACCTATTCCTGCATGAAAGTTACCACAACTTTAAAGTATTCCAACATGGTCATTGGCCAAAGTCACCTTCACTGATTTTATAGAACACCTATATCCATCATCTTACACAGGATCGATCAATATGGATCAGTTAGATGCGAGTAGACCACTGTATGAGATCCAGCACTTGCATCCTGTTGCATCCACTGTGGTTGAATTGAAGCCGGCATGGACCGGGCTATTTTAACACTCCTCTATGTAGTTCTTCCAGATATTGTGACACGTCATGACCATGTATGATTTATTTTGAGAAAATGTCCGTGATTGATAAGGACCTGTATGGGATCAACTCCCTTTGATCCCGAGAGCAGTTGAGCAAACACATGTCCAGCATCAGGCATGCGACCTTTGAAAGACACAGCAGCCATCTGCAAATAGAAAACCTATCGAATTGAGACCCTTGACATGTAAAAATCAATCATGGCTTCACTACAAAATCAGATTTCTTTGGTTTGCGAAGACATGTGTTCATGCACAAAAGTCCTCTACAGAATCGAGGCTCGAAAAAATCCGGTGTTCTCTATAAAATCAGACCCTCTGACACACCACCCTCTACATAGGCAGATCATTCTCTAAAAAAGCACCTGCTTGCTTTGCGGTGGCGTCATCATCGATTTTGTAGTGGAAATACGCAGGGGGACTGTATATATATATATATAATGTATATATATATATATGTTGAGTGCGTCGGCGCACGGGGCCGGTAAATCTGTGGTCCCAATTGACCCAGTTGAACAGGGTGCCCCAGTTGACCCAGTTGACATTCTGCGAGGACCATCGGCTCGGATGTGTCTCAACCGTTGACCCATTGTCTCTGATGGAGACAGTGTCTCAACTGGGTCAACTGCGACCTGGCTCGGACGCAAGCAGTGCGTCAACTGGTTCCAGTCAGACCCATGGTTTGGGTGGAGGCAGTGTGTCAATTTGATCAACTGCGTCTTCGCTTGAGGTCCAGTCAGCTCTCGGCCCGTTGGGGGATAGGGTCCCAACCAAGGTCAACACAGGACGTCTGGTGTTGAGCTTTGTTTCTAGTGGTTAGATAATGTTCTAAAACCTCAATGTTGCTTGCGCATGGGTCTTCGCTTGAGAGAAGTCTTGTGAAAATCCATGCAGTAAGGTTATTCTTCCTGGGGGTTCTTCTGGGCCCTTGGACTGCTGCCTGGGCTTGTTCCCTTTGGGCCGTTGCTTCCGCTGTTGCTGGATTGGGGTTCAAGAGGGGGCTGGCTTCCACTTGCCGCCTCCTTTCTTGGGGTTGAAGGGGTTACGGACGCTCTCGCCACCCCACATTAAAGAGCCGACTCAAGCCGGCAAGGCCCGGCAATGAAACCAGTGCCATCCGTGGACAACGTGGGGATCAGGTAGTCCATGCCCTCAAAGGCATCCAGCTTCTTCCAGAGCACTACCAAAGGTCCCCACCAGCCATGCGTGAAGGAGTAGTTCGGTGCGATGGAGGGGCACGTGTGCTGCAGATCATTGAACCTCGCACTGCAGCCCACCCGAAGCAGGGGAGCAGAAGCCGGCTCCTCCACAAAGGACACAGCCAAGGCCCGCGTGCGAACGTGACGATGTGGGAGGCGACAATGTAGTAGCAGCGCCAGAGGTGCCGTAGGTGGAAAGGACGACACAGAAACATCCCCCTCCGTCCGGCTTTCAGGGCCACATGCAGGCGCCTGTGCCGTCGGGGGCGGGAGCACCCACATGAAGAGCCGACATGGCATCGTTCAACTTCCCTTGGACCTTTTCAAGGGTGGGAAGTTCACACTTGACAAAGTCTGCGGAGATCACGGATTCAGCGTCATCCTTGGGAAGGATGGCACGTGCCAGGGCATCATCCCGCACTCTCGATGACTTCCTCTTCCATCTTGAAGACCTTCTTGTCCAGGGTTGCTGCCTCCGAGGGAGCGAGGGTGAAGGAGGACACCGTGTCCGCTCCATCAAGGATGTCCCAATCCAAGAACTCTCCCGTGTTGCCAGTTCCTGCCATGGCTATCAAATAGATAATGATAGTCAAACAGGAGAGTGGGAAGGAGGGAAAGCGAGTGTTTTCACTTGGAATCAAGCTTGAGCCAAAATGACAAGCCCTTTGCTAATGAAATGTATTGTATAAAGAAACATAACCTGCTTTCGGCAGGCTCCAAGTGCGTTCTAAATCACCTGAGAGAAGCTTGTCAATGGCTGCCAACTGTGGCGGCGGTTGGATTCGGGTGTGAAGTTGTTTGTTCGATCATGCGTATTTTGTTGTGGGTTGACTGTTGTGCTGAGTTTGAGGGTTTGATTTCACACCTGGAGCTGTTTATAGTTTAAGAATGGAGGCTGGCGAATGCTGGCGACGGAGCACAAGCTCCCTGTTCGAATGATGGATCCCAGCTAGCCATCAATTGGCTGCAACTTTCCAGCAGACATGGTCTGGAGATTCGACTCTTTTTAGGAGCATTTTGTATGGTGTTTGTCGTGAGTTAGGTTTTGATTTGTTTCTTTGCTGGAAATTCATATCTTCAGACAAATGGCTGCGTTTTAAGTTGGTTGGCCTTCCAGTTTTGATTGCAAGGTGAGGGAATTTTTGGCACAGGCCTATTCCGTGAGGCCCCTTCACAGAACACTGGACATGGCCAGGAGGCTTGAGGTGACATTTCTTTGATGGAGGAGGTGCATTCGGCCGAAGGGGACCTCGGATCCTTGTGTTTGTTGGTTTCTGGTTTACTCGCAGTTCACTGCCAATCCTGCCGTGGCTAGCTCGAGTCTGCAAGTCGCGCTATACATATCATGTGTACATGTATATACATATACGATTGTGGTTGCGGGGTAGGCCATGAAGGGCCCAAGGAACACAATAGCGGCTAACCTTTGCATGGTCGAAACAGTGATCTTTGAGGGAAACGGGACACGGGAAATCCAATAAGAAACGGAGATTGAGGGAATACTAGTATTACAGCTTACATCAACTTACATAGTGTGCTGGTGTATTATAATCTAGGCTGTTGTAATTTGTTTTGAAACAAAGTTGGATTGTATGCTGTTGAAGCAAACGATCCTCTTCGCTCAGGAGTTGACCAGCATAGAGGCTCCCATCAAGCGGAATGTCAAATAGTCACAAAAGAAGACCTCTCAGCAACACATTGGATGAGCATGTTTGAAGGAATCCCTGCACTGTACTGAGAATCCGTGAATCACTTGAACAAATTTGTCAAAGTTTCCTGAGATCTGGACAATACCAAGTAAGCCAGATATCATACTGCTCACATCAAGGTCATATGGTCTGAAGAGGAAATGATGGCCCCAACTGACTCCAAACACCATCTGATAGCCACCCATTGCAAAAACATAGGCGGAAACCAGCGGGCACTTGTTGTCCACGTCCCTGCAGTTCTTTCGGGGCACTGACAGAAGCCAAAGTGCAAAAAACAATGCTGCAATCAAACAAACCAAATAAGCCTGCTCGCCTGTAGCAATAGATGTACCTTAGAGACACCAATCTCCAATGCACGAGGCAATACGCAGTCACCGCAACATTTGGCACTTTTGTTGGGCTTCTGACAGTGTCATCAATTGGTGACTGGTTGCTGAGGTAGCATTGAAATACTTTCTAAATAAGTGGAGAAAATCCAAAGGATCTCCACAAACAAGCCATGATCTTCCAGAGAGTACACTCCAAACACAAGTGTCATCACAATGATCATGAACAGCGCCTTGGTTGTTTAAGGCACGCATAGCACAAAATGCTTTGGGCTCAACATACATCTTCAAGATTGACAAGCTTGATTCGTCTAATTGTCAATAAGAAACCGCCGATAGAGACAGCGTGTCCTTCTCATCAACACCTCGATGCCGCTGTATCGAAGCGCAAAATCTCTGCAAGAAAGCCACATTCTCATCAGTGTCCAAGATCTGTGCTTGCTCCAAATATGTACAGGAGCAGCACAATTTTGAGAGTAGCACTCCAAAGAAGCACCTCGACACTGTCCATGATCAACGTTTAGGCAAGCTAAAAGCTCAGGTGTGCACACATGCGACGGCATTCAATTCAGGCAGTTTTGCGGCAAGAATAGAGGGGTTGGCAAAAGCAAGCCTTGTAGATCACAAGGTATATTGACTGATCACCTGGGCGTTCAATGAAGATGAGAAATGGCATGAGCAGAAATGTTTGAAATCGGTAAGGAATCTGAGCTTCAAGCAAAAGAAGACATTGGAAAAGCGTGCTGTGAACACGATGAAGTATAGGATGTGAGTTTTGAAAGATATTCCTCCGGTCCCATTGTCGCGGAGGATGACCGCAAGACAAAGTACCAGCCTCAGCAGGAAAGGGCCAAAATAGAACTCAATTCTGCACCCGTGAATGAGTAACAAATTGAATGTGATTCTGAACCGTGAGGCGCAAGTACGTGGACAATGTCTCCACAATACCTTGGAATGCTGGCACTGACCAGGACCACTGCATTTGACTGTGCAAGCGAGTTGCTTGAACACATCAAAGGTGTAGTGCCTGACCGACAAATGGCGTTGTGTGCAAATTGGTTCGAAATAGCCCTGCTCCTGACGCAAAAGGTGCAGATCATCTCATGAACGTGCTACAACATGCGTGACATGCTCGTCCTTGGCAGCATTGACAACCTGAACTCCCACCTGATTTCAATGCAAGGGACAATTCTAACGTAGCAGCAACACACTGAAACAAATCAAAGTGAGGTGAACCACGCCTTCTGCAATTTTTTCAACTTCGAAGTTGCATCTTTTGCAACGCGATCCATGCAATTGCAAGTTTGGATACATGTATCTGGAAGAGATGCACATGGATTAGCATTCCAATTTGCGTTGTTAAGGTTGTCTTGCATCATGGCCCCACCTGTTCTTCCAAAGTCTACAAATCAAGTCATTGGCATATCATTTGAATTTGTTCATCATTACATAGCCTGAGTTCTGAGTGATAACAATAACATACAAAAACACTGTTGCTTAGAAGAAGCAACATGGCAAAAACAACAAGAGACGGTCAACAAAGAGGCGTCTGTTAGAATTTGCAAAGATTCATAAGATTCTGTTTGTAGGCGAGTTCTACCTGTGCATGAATTTGAGGTTGAAAACACATACGCCAAACTGAAACATGGGAAAACTGTTCGTTCAACGTGTCTTGCAAAGGCGAACAGTCGAGAGTTGAAATTCACCAAAGAAACAGTCAAGAACGATCAGCAAGCCGCAAAAGGCACAAGTTTGTTTTTCTATGCTGTCCTGCCCCCCCCCCAAGAAGAAGTTGAAAGCACCCGTGCATACATAATGCAACACTCACACCGACATTATGACATCGAATCACCGGTGGCATTGAGTCAAAGTTGATGCAAATCCGCTCTCATAGCGGACTTTAATTGGGTGAGAAACTAATTCTGCATGGAGCGTCACGGATCGGCTTGCCAAAAGGGTGTTCCACCTCCTTAATGGATTCAGCGCCACCAGGCGGCCCAGCCTCAATCAATTGTGAAATCAGTCAGGCCAGACACTTGGTAAAGCTTGGTAAAGCATGTTGATGTTGAGAACCTCAAATGATCATCTAAGCACATTGGGACTGGCAGCACAACTTGGCATCCCACCAAATCCATTGGTTCCAGCTTCACCTCACGACGTGGTTTCTGGAGCAGTGCGCTCTGAAAATTGAGGATGGTATGAAACAGGGTTCAGTGCCTTCCGGTGAGCCGGCCCCGTCCGACCTGGCAGGATAAGAGTGCTGAGTTCTTCCTGTTCTTTTCTTGTTTCTATTAGCAATGGCCCCCAACCCACTAGCGATGGCCTCCAACCTAATAGCGATGGCTCCAGCCCAATGAAGTGTCGGAAGCATGCCAGTCAGGCGGGCTGCTGGCGCCATGCATTGGATCCTGACCATGCTCCACCGTCTGATTGCTTTTTTTGTGATGGGTGAGATGCATTGGGAACCAGGTCTCCCCGAAGTGTTTGAACATGAGATTTCACTCAAACTCAGCTTCTGCAACCTCCTTCGTCATGACCATCGACCTGTTCCACATACTTTCAGTCGGGCGCACGGCCATTCTGATGTATCATTGTATAACTCAATGCCGAGGGCAGTAACCTCCGCGGATTCAACGCCACCAGTCTATGGAGTGATCTGACGACCTGAGCAAGCTCTGGCAGGCAGTGCACCTGTAACATGTTTCATGAAAGACTTCGTGGCATGATGCATGTCCCATAACCATCGTTTTGCACATTCTTGCAAGAAGCTCGAGCATCTCAGGCCATCACACTTGCAAAGTTGGGTCGCCGGCGAGACTCTGGATCCAAGCCTGGGGCTCAAACCATAGCCATAACCATAGGCAGCCAAGCCTGTTACATTTGCTGCCCATCCATCTGCGATCACAATCACAACAAATGTGACATCTCTCGGGCCGCCACAGCCCAAAGCCTTGAAAATGTGTGAGCTCTCAAATCAGGCAATCGAAATGATGAATGACTTAGGCAAATGAAGCCGTCAAGCACAGTAAAGCCAACAAGAACACGTGTTCGAAGAGAAAACTAAATAACTCAAACAAAAACACGCCAAGTCTTGCCCAGGTTCCAAGTCTCCAAATTCAGCAGCCACTTGCTGTGGCCAGCAAGCCTTGGGCAAATAAACTGTCCAAGCACTCTTTCATTACTCAAGGTTCTTTGTGCCGGTCACACGGTGATGAGCCACCGCAAACTCACTCTTGGTTGAAAACATAAGGGCCCAAGCACAAGACAACTGCAACATGATACAAAGCATTCATATACAGTCGGCGTTGGGAAGTCAATGCCACAACCTATAAATGCCACCCCAGTGTTTTTGGAGCTAGTCGCATCTGCTGAGCCTTCTGATGCTGACAGCAGCTTGAATAAGGGCCGCGCTCCAGGATCAAGGCCTTGTGGCAGAAGTGTTGATAGCACGAATGGCATTGTGCGGGAACTTGTCGACACAAAAACAAATGCATCAAGTGCATACCATGAGGAGGCGGACACTGCATCAAGCGGGCATGCGCACCCCCGACATAGGGCTGCACGGCTTCCAGCAAAGGAAAGACCTTGCTTTCGCAGGACAATTCCTAAATCCCAGAACAGCGACACCAATGACGAATTGGCCAACATCATTCCTTGCAATGCCGGACATGCGACGCTGACCCCTGGGCAATTACAGCAGGCGGCAGGGGCCCGACCATATCCCCATGTGAGGATGCCAACGCAGGTGGTCTGTTGACCAGAAGTTCCAGCCTAGGTTGTTCCGAGCTGCATCACTAGTGTTCTACACAATCGAAACTGAGCAGGTTACAAAACCATGCCGAGCGAGTACACCTCTGACCTTGGCCAGAGACATGTTAGCACTTGTCCTCTCCACTTCGTAGCAAGTTTCAGTGATGTTGGGTGTGCGCAGTGCTGCTTCTTGGAACCCCATGTCACATGTCACGTCGACAAGTGATATTACGAGTAATTATGTTGCGGCTAGTTGTTTCACATTGAAGTGTCTACGTGAGGAAAGCCAAAAGGGCTGACCAAACCGAAACCGATCAAGCTGCTCTTCCGTCACGCTCCTGGAGTGAATATAGGAAAGGCAAGTGTACCTTCCAAACTGTGTGGCCATGTCCGTCTGCCAGGCTACCATTGCTGAACAGCAAGCAAGATCTTCGATATACTTGCAAGAAAGCACGAAGCCGCAATTGCTCAGGGCAAAGAGAACTCTTTTACCAAGTGCAGCATGTGCTCGGTTCTTTGCATGCCCTTGGTCCTAGAGAGCGAGAACACGAACACATACATTCATTGCAAAACCAATGGAAATTCACAAACAACCGCATCCAAGTTTAGAGTATATATATATAATATATGTTAAATACATGTATTATACGTCTCCTGTGAGTCTCATCTGCGCAGGACTCGATTGTTGCCCATCCACGCATCTCGAACCCCACAGCTTCCGCAGCCGCAACAGTGGAGGACAAATTATCAAAACCTGAACCATGCCAAAGGCTCGCCCTCTTGCAATGCAAGGGGTGAAATGTACTGGGCGGCGTGCCGTTCTCCCGTGAAGAATCACCATTGCCTATCATGAGCGTAGCACTGCCACCTGCAGGGGGTGAAATGTCTAATGAACACAGTTCCGAGAGCCACACTGGCCATACCTGGTTTCAGGCAGCTGTGTGCCAGTCTCATCCACTGCTCCTGAATCGACGACGATGACCCGCATGGTTATCCGCTTACTTCTTGTTGCATCGCCGCCCAGCCTCCTGAGACTGTTACTAGTAGCTTCTTGCTACTACTAGTAATGCCCTTAGCTACAAGTAGTTCCCGGGCAAGCCGGGAGCGGAAGTTTCCTATAAGAACAAATTGACCTATAGGAGTGTCCCGGTTCTTTCCACCATGCGTGCCCCTCGTGTCCCTCAGTCAGACGCATGAGTGATGAGTGATGAGTGAAGCATAGCTCTAGCTCTAGCTCCACTAAAGCTAACTGGAGCTAGACGTTAACTATGATGCGATAGCTTGTCTAGACACGAATCACGAAGCTAATTAGCTCAAATTTGTCAACCTCTCTAAACACGTGTTTTGATGTCTCCAGAAAGTAATCGAAATGACAACTTTTGAGTAAGCAAAGAAGCTAAAAATTGTCAACTAGAGCTAACTGGAGCTAGAGCTCTTGAAACTAGAGCTAACTGGATGATGAGTGGTGTATGATGAGTGGTGTCTGATGAGTGGTGTATGATGAGTGGTGTATGATGAGTGGTGTAT